GGAACATAACAACGTAGCAGGTCCATATGGGCTACATGTTGAGCTTTTTTACCATGAATTCTAGAAAGAAATAAAATATAGCTTAAAGAAAATTGCTACTCCTGTAGGAGTTTTTGGATTCCCTCGAAAAGAAAGGGTGATGTAGCACAATAGCAGAACGTATTTTCCTCAGTTAAGAACCAATGTTTATCAAACCAATAAGAGCCTACAACCTAACAAGATAAGTGACATCTACACACAAACATACAAATGCTTGCATCCAACTTTGTAAGGTGGTTGTCAATCCCCTCCTTGATAGTTACAAGGTTAAAAGGAAATATTGATAGACAGTGATGTGACAAATGACAAAATAGTACAGAGATCAATGGAGCAACGCAAATAATAATAGAGAATGGACAGGGGGGCATAGGTTCACTAGTGACTTCTCTCTCGAAAGCAGATAATGGCATGGTAAACAAATTACTGTTGGGAAATTGACAAATAAGCATCATTTATGGCATAATCTCATATAGGCATCACGTCCGTAACAATTAGACCACAATCCAACTACATCCACTACTATTACTCCACACCAAGACCGCTATCCAGCATGCACTCAAAGTATTAAGTTTGCAAGAAATAGGGTAACCTAGTAAGGAGGATGAGATGATGTAGACAGAAAGAAACCTAGCAATAAGATCAATCCCCGTTGTTTTATACTTAGCAGGAACAACACATCATATGCCTTTACCCCTTTCTGCAACTAGGCAAGATCACCATAAGATTGAACCCACTACTATGCATCACTCCCTTTGAAGAATTGCCCATCTATCTTGGCCAGAGAAGACGGATAATCAGAAAGCATACATAGCTAATCAATCATACAACAAAACTTGAAAAGATTCAATTATAATCAATGAACAATTTGATCATAAATCTACATATCATCAGAACTACTCACGCATCATCACACAGGCGGCAAGGTTGATGAAGATGGCCACCCCAATGGTTTCCCCCCTCCGGCAGAGCTCTAGAATAGAGCTCCAGATGGGATCACTTCGAAAGAGAGGCTGGTGGCGGCGATAAAATTCTCTCGTCTCTATGCCTATGTGGGTTTTGGGAATATTGGGAATTTATAGGCTAGGAATTAGGTCAACCGGAGCAGCAGGGCCCCCACAACCCTAGGTGGCGCAGCCAGGGGTGGGCCATGCCCCTATGCTTGTGGGCCCTATGTGAATCTTATGGTCTTCTCCCGAAGCTTTTAGGGTCTCTTATTTTCCATAAAAAAATTGTCATAAAATTTCATAGTGTTTGAACCTTCCTAGATATGATTTTTCTGTGAAACCAAAAACAAGCAAAAAATAGGAACTGGTACTGGGCACTAAATTAATAAGTTAGTCCAGAAAAATAATATAAATGATATAAAAACCATACAAAAGTTATAATATAATATCAGTTAACAATAAAAAAATATAGCTACGTTGGAGACGTGTAAAAATTGCTTTGTGTTTTTTCATGAAGGGGCATATATATTTAAAGTGTAAATCATGGCATTATTTATTTGATACCTAAAATACCTAATGCAACAATCATTTTGATTTTTTGTTAATTTCTAGTTGAATGTAAGTTATAAAATACTTGCAAAATTTCTAGCTAACATGATAAGTTTAGTGGTAGCTAAAGTGTTTGTAGGCACAAACTCATTCTAGAGGGCATGCCCCTATTACATGAGATTGTCCATGGAATTCATGTTGAAATGAAATCAGGTGTGATGTTAAAACAATGATTCTAAAAAAGGCCTATGTGTAGGAATTTTTGGATTTTGGAAGATGTGAAACGGACTAAAATAGTAATAACTATCAGTTTTTATCTTTATAGTCAATTTAAATTCAGGCTACAATTGTCGAAAATTTTGTACACATGCAATGGAAGACCAGAAATTGAAAGAGCAAAAAAATTTGCTTGCATGAAAGAAAGGGATTAAAGGAAGGAGATTGTAAATGCAAGGATCTTTTCCCCGATGTTATTACTGTTGGCACAATCATGCTACTCGTTGCTGAAAGCTCCAATGCAAATTAGTAAGGGCACAAAGGTCTCAACAACGACGCTGAAAAAGTACATACTAAGCTCTTGCCCACGTACTTGGTTACCTCAGTCCGTATATCATCCTTGGAGCATCATCCCTTTTTCCCTAGAGACCGTAGTTTTATCAAATCATGGGAATGATGGTGCTACTAGAAGACATATTACATCTTCCAATAGTTTCCTTAGTTCTTTGTTTATGGGATCAAGGTGTTGCAAGTATTAGCAACACAAAAAACTACCAAAAAGGCATATTAGTAACCAGTAATATGAGATACTACTCGGTAAAGAGTTTCACCTGCAACCTCGTACGGGCGTGTAGGATCATAAGGTAAGTAATTAAATATAGGTATGATGAACATATGCGCATTGCATTTGAGAAGTGGGACATGTGTCACTAAGACACCACGACCGATTGTCCTCGAATCGAGGGTACATTGTCCAACAGTGGCCTTATTCCATCTCGCGGGCCTCCATGGTTATTGAGGAGAAACCACACCAACACCTTGGCGTTTCATGACTGCATCATTAGTCCCAAAAGATTTGGATCAAACTACCTTACTATTCCTTGTTCTCACCGTTGTTTGGTGTAGTCCTCCACACCTCCTTGATATCCACCCCCCTTTAGCCGACCTTCGGTGTATCGGGTACATCCAGTCCTATGATCAGGAAGAGACAAAATACGAAATTGCAACACGAACGTAATATAACGTCCACCCTTAGCCCATGGGGACAACACACACATCGTGATTGAATCGCCAACCAGAGACATTGCAAAATGTTCCTTTAAGGTTATTGACTAAATTGTCTAACAATCTCGCTAATCGCAAGGAAATCTCAAAGTATAAGATTAAAACTATCGTCGAGTTATTATGGTGGTGGTGGAGACTATGAAGATGACGACTGGTGAAGGTTTGGTGCAGCAAAAAGTTGAGGGTTGTGTCAATCGGCATGGAGAGAGAGAAACATATAGATAGATAGGTAAATAGGGGAAGAGAGATGATTTGGAGTCCTCTAACCTATCTAAACAGTTGCAGTCCCTCCTGATTAGGGTTTTAGGGGCGCAAATGCACGGATAGCGAGGGGGAGGGTCTCACGAAAGCGCCTTGGCAGGCGCAACCCTGCTTGATACAAGCACGCTTGTACCAATGCTCGACTAGGCTTCCTAGCGGCCATCTTTATATCGCAATGACCCTCTCGTGATGTAGATCTTCAATAAGCCTCCCCCTTATGTTCATATATGCAACAACTTAACAAAATAAGAAGGTCTACACGACTTTGCAATTGTGAGTGTTTAGTGCACAACTTGGAGTACTAAGAAAATATGTAAGAATATCAAGTTTAAACTTACGAAAAGATGAGTTTTAAATACACTCATCAATATCTTCTTGCCTTTACAAACTTTTTGGTCCTTCAAACCTTGCAGGATCCCAAGCACACCTAGGACACACCCTCAAAAAGTAATAACAAGTTGGTCGCTTGGTGATGAATCTTTTGTTTGCGCTTCAAAAAATAGTCCCCTTCACACTCAAACTCTCATAATGAATCCATAAGGTTGGAAACGTTAGAGTATTTGAAACACGGTAACAGATCTCAAAGTAAAGAAGATTTCAGAGGGTAGACTCAATAATTTGGTTAGAATCCTCTTTTAAACTCATCACAATGCTTGAACGATTGGCTTTGAATGGTGCGGTATGCGAGAGGGCCTACATAGGTTGGACCCAGAAATGTGTGATTGCACACGAATTAGCAAAACCTGAGGCTCCTACCATTTTGGCTTAGAAGTTCCAAACGAGCTAAAGGTGGTAACTTAAACTAGCTTGGAGGCGCCGAACAAGATTTCACAAGTTCGAATAGGCACGTCCCCGCCCATACCTCTAGTTATGTTGTCGCTACGCAACCGTGTGTGTGATGGTGTTCTTCGACGAGATATGGTCACGGATAGGATTGGGAGGAGGGCGTAAAAAACGAGAAATTTGTGAAGGACTCCTTGGAGGTGCGCTGGTGCTCTCCGGTGAGAAAAACGAAGAGCGATGGAGGGTAGACGGGAAGGGCTATTTTGCCAAAAGAACAAAGATCAAAGTGAGTGTACGGCTCAAATACAGTGAATGAGGATTTTTTTTACGGGAAATGAGGGTATATATCTTTTTTTGCGGGTATATATCTTTGGAGAGCATGTCATGCCGAAGGCAATTTGAAAACCTACGTATTTGATAAAAAAATCTTGGAAAAAACGTCCTTTCACGGAGAATATGCCACTGCATTTGTGGAAATATGATTTTGGCAGGAGGGAAAGCTGGGTCGGCGGCAAGCGTCGGAGCGAGGAGGCAAGGTCCATCCATCACAAGCGAGCAGAGGCAGGGTGAGAAAAGACAGCACTGCTCGCCAGCAGCGGCTCCCGTGTCCTTCCTTCCTGGGGAACCCCCGAAAGTTGAACGCCCGGGCGAGGGAAGCCGCGAAAACCAAAAGCAAACCAACTCTCGCCTCCCCTCCCCCAATCCCTGTCTCCCTCTGCCCGCAGGCCGCAGCAGCAGCAGCACGCACACCACCCCCGCAATAAAGAAGCTGCTGCCCCTGCCGTTGCGTTGCGTCGCGTGGCGGGTGGCGCTCCCCTCTCCCCCTCTCTCTCTCTCTTCGTCTTCCTCCCGAACCCCAATAAAACCTCCCCGCCCTTTCCCTCCTATCCCATTTGTGCTGCGTGCTGCGCTCATCACTGCCCCCCACCACGCCTCCCACTGCTCGAGGCCAGCTAAAGCAGCCAGCCAACCAGCCGTAGCCGCAGTTAAAGCCAACCGGCTACCTCGCCCCGCCTCGCCTCGCCATGGGAGGGGAGCCGCTCTCCTCTTCCGCTCCCGCCGCGCCCTGAGCAGGACCGAGCACCACTGGACTTGTCCCCCGTTACGTCACTGTATCTGTACCCACGGGAGCACGTTGTGGCCATGGCCTTTGCCGCGCTCTTTGTTGACTCGCTCTACTGCCCGGAGGAGCACCACGACCTGTTCCAGGAGCCGGCCGAGGAGCAGTGGCCGGATCAGCAGCCGCTGGTGGCTCTTGACGACGAGCTGCCGGCGCTGTTCGAGGTGTTCAGGGGCAAGGAGGAGGTGCTGCTGCGGGAGGGCGGCGACGGGTACGGCGGCGACGCGAGGAGGCAGGCGGCCGTGGGGTGGGCGACGCGCGCGGCGGCCAGGCTCGGCTTCTCCGCCCTCACGGCCGCGCTCGCCGCCGCGTACCTCGACCGCTGCTTCCTCAGCGGCGGCGCGCTGCGGCTCGGGGACCAGCCGTGGATGGCGCGGCTCGCCGCCGTCGCCTGCGTGGCGCTCGCCGCTAAGGTGGAGGAGACGCGGGTGCCCGTGCTCCTCGACCTCCAGCTCTGCGCCGCCGAGAGCGCCGGCGACGCCGACGTGTTCGACGCCAAGACGGTGCGCCGGATGGAGCTCCTCGTGCTCTCCGCGCTCGCCTGGCGGATGCACCCCGTCACGCCATTCTCCTTCCTCCACCCCGTGCTCGCCGCCGCGCGCCTGCGCCAGTGCGAGAGCGTCCTGCTCGCGGTAATGCCAGGTGGGTTCATGGCTCTTCCCCGTCCATGCATTGCTGTCTCAAGAATAAAAGACTCCATCTTTACGTCAAGCGTGTTCTCACTTTGCGCGCGTGGCAGACTGGAGCTGGCCACGGTACCGCCCGTCGGCGTGGGCTGCGGCGGCATTGCTCGCGACGGCCGGCTACGGCAGTGGCGACGGCGACGCCGAGCTCTTGGCGCTCATCAACGCCCCCGAGGTCAGCACCACAAACTTGTCGTTAGCGGTTGCCACATTATTACTACCAGCTGTCTTCGTGCACACTCGTGCCAATGCCACTGTTTGTGCTCAACTGATGGGCTTGCCAATGCAGGACGAGGTGGCGGAGTGCGTCAAGATCCTCTCCGGGGAGGCGGCGGCGGGATTCATGGGCTTCGGCGGCGACAATAAGCGCAAGCGCGCGGCAGCGGGGCTGCACTCGCCGCCGCTGAGCCCGAGCGGCGTGATCGGCGCGGCGGCATACTTCAGCTGCGAGAGCTCGTCCAGCAGCGCGGACTCACGCTCCGGCGCCGCCACCGCCTGGCCGGGGTCAGTCTCCGTGTCGTCCTCCCCGGAGCCCGCCGGCCGGCCGCTCAAGCGCGCCACCGCCACGGCGATGATGCTTCCACCCGACGAGGAGAGCCGCGACGCCTGGCGTTAGATGCCAACCCCGCCCCGCGGCGCCGGACTAGCTACTACCTATAGCTCGCCGTAGAACAACAGCCGGCGATCAGGGAAGGCCGTAATGAGAAGCCGGCCTGGGGGGAGAAGTAAAAAACGTGTAATTTTGCAATGCGGCTGGAAAAGACGGGTCCTGTAGGGGGGAGGAGGCAGGGAGATTAGCCATTGATGGCTCTTGGAGTAGCACTCTCATGGAGGAGGGGAGGGACAAGGTAGGCGGCAGGGCAAGTTTGCTCCATCTCCGGCTTGCTCCCTCCCTACGACGGCGCCATGAATGCAATTCCCCACTTCCCATGAGCTCTATCTACATCTGCATTGATTAATGCCCCCCTTGCTGGCTTCTCATTTTATCTAAATAAATGTGGATAAACCTTGATCACTTGTTCTCTCTGATGATGGTGCCTTGATTGTGTGCTGCATGCTACTGCCTTGGCATTAAAACTGATGGAATGTCTGTTCATGTGCCATGACTAATAATGAGATGGGGGTCGAGCACTACGGGAGGAAATGTTCCGATGTAGTAGGGCAAAATAGAAAACTACGAAGAATATTTTTAGAGGGTGCTTTTTTTGAAATATTTTAGAGGGTGCTTTTTTTGAAATATTTTAGAGGGTGCTCATATTGAAAGAAAATTAGTTATTTGACCACAGACGAGAAAATAGGGCTGCACAACCCTACAAACAAGGTTCTTCAAAATCAACGTATCAAGGGAAGACACGACATTGAGGAAGACACGACATTGCCATATCTTCACCCCATAGAGCATGTATTAGCAAACTCCAAAACGACGATATTGCCATATCTTTCACCCCAAAACAATGTCTTCAACAAAGACGCCGTGCGTAAACACCGTCCTAGCAAGATGCGACCATCAAATGTCGGACCATGGTTTTTCACCCTTGAGTTCGACACCCCCCTGAGTACCACCAAGCCAAAGTTATCTTTGGCATGGAGGGGCAAACACACCATGGTCATGGAAACTGAAATAAATCACTCCATGACATACATGTCGGGAGGCAATCCTTCACCTGCATATCTTTGGCATGGATATCACCATGCGCCCAAATCCATTCTTCGGAACACAGAACGATCACAAAGTGTGGAGAGCCAAACGTCGTTGGCAACTTCAACTCACATGCACGTGCTCCAGGGCAAATGTGCCGGAGGTTGCCGACGACAACGACGCCGAGGCATGGTGTCAACTCCATGGCCACCTCAGGCGGTAGGTGCACCACCCCGGCTTATTGACGCACCACTTTCTGTGCTACCACATTGGTGCTGCCACAATCGACTAGGCTGTCGAGTTGTCGCAAACGGTTTACTGCTACATCTGATTGTCGAAAGTTGTCTATGCCCCGCACCGCTGGCCACATAGCACCGCAGCTCAACACCTCCTAGAGTGCCCATGGTCGCCGTCTCGACGTCCAAGTTCCATCGTGTATGCCACACCGTCCGGGGCCACCATGTCGTATGGTCAGCAAGCGCTCCCCTGCGCGAGAAGGCAGCTTTGTCCACCGGCGTCCTTTGACAGCAGCGGGGTGGGTAAAAGAGTGGGGGTGGCAGCGGCGGCTAGGGTTGATTGTGAACCGTTGATTTGACCACACATTTCAGCCCGTACTCTACATTTTATTCACCTGTATTTTTAAGCATCAGTAAATAACATCAATAAAACGGGAAAATAAAGAGAAATACACAAGAGGCTAGGCCGAATCAATTAGAGTTCTAGCAGCAATAGACATGATTAGAATCCATGTGATCAACCTTGTAGATGCATGTGAGTGAGGGAAAAGTACGAGTAGCAAAGCATGAAAAGAAAGAGGTGATAGGATGACTCGGCAGCCTTGTTGGCATGGTGCAATATGGATTTGACTTTTACTCATTCTAATTCCATGGTGGACCAGCCTGCCTCCCTCCCTGCCTC